GACTGATTCCCTGTGTACCTTCCTATGACTGATGTCCTTAGTGAACATTTTACATTCTGAGCATCCTCTGAAGGGTGCTGCTTAAATTCTTCCTTTTCTCTTGATTTCTTTGGCCATATCGTTGTTTTTATTGTTTTAATTGTGGCACATTTTACCTGAGCTTCTAGTACAGTACTCATGAATAGTCTGCCTTTAGGCCTCTGCTGATCTTTTGGGTGCATGACTTCCAGTGTACTTATGCAAATTTCAAACAATAAACATCTCAAGAAATATTTTTAAAAGTTAATTGTTTGGAAAGTACATACATGGTTTTGTATTTTGTATTATCATAGTGTCTTCTGTTTTGCATTTCTACCTGCTTTTCTTCTGCTCCTACCATCTAACTACATTTTGCAACGCTGTGCGGGTTCCCTCGCAGCATTCTGAAAGCAATTTTGTCTTCTGCTTGCCTTCTAACATTGTCAGAACAATTGTTCTTAGAAACACTGTACCCATTGTACTTTTACTAGCCCGTGATTGTGCATATAAGTCAAAACTGACCCTTTTACTGGCAGTTACCTACATTTTCACATCTTGCAAAGTCTGTCCCTAAAGCAGGATCCCAATTTGGGTGGTAACAAAGAAAACCGTATTTAATATTGCTAGTAGTATTGTAAAAGTATCTCTGTTGAAAAAGGAAATTGAAGCATTTTGGACTTCTCAGCCACAGTACACAGATAGGAAAGGAAAAAGCCTGGACAATAATTCTGTGTGTCAGAGCTTCAGTACCTTGCATGACGTGTAATATATAGCAGATTTGTATACTAACTTCTTTAAAATCCACAATGCTTACATGCCAGTATTTGGATAATTTACTTTCTGAAGGAAAAAGGGAGTCTGATTGCTGTTGCTTAAAAAAAAAAAAAAAATAAAGTTTGTTTATGCTTTGAATATTTTGGCAGTGTTCTTGTGCATAAACTTTTTTTCATATTTATGTGCATAAGTTCAGATAGGATGGATGGTGGTGTTTAAGTAAAAAGGACCACATTAGTTGTCCTTATATCATCTAGATAAGCAGCAGCTGCACTGGTTAGTACAGACAGTGCTTTAGCAAACAGCTGGTTCTTATCTGAATGACAAAGGGCCAGGGTAGAGACCTTTTTTATTTAAAAAAAAAATAAAAAAAAATTTTTTTGTTTCTATTTTTATTTTAAGAGAATGGAGAGAGAAGGAGCTACAGGCCATCTGTAGCATGTAAAGTTTTATTGCATTTTTATGAATATGATCATTTATTATTGATCAGTGCTAGGACCCAGAAAGGGAACTCTTTTCAGCGTGGAAAAGAGAAGGCTCGGGGATCTTACCAGTGCCTATAAATACGTGATGGGGGGAATTAAGAAGACCAATGCAGACTCTCCTCAGGGCTGCCCAATGCCAGGACAAGAAGCAACAGGCACAAACTGAAATACAAGAAATTTCTTTAAACATAAGGAAGAAATTATGTTCTGAGAGCATGGTCAACCACTGGCACAGGTTGCCCAGAGAGGTTTTGGAGTCTTTGTCCTTGGATGTATTTGAAACCCAACTGGGCAAGGCACTGGGCAACCTGTCTTGCTGACCTTGCTTCAAGTAAGAAGTTGGACTAGATTGTCTCCAGATTGTCTCAGCCTGTCCATGACTCTGAACTGTCACACCAGGAAGTGCTTCCGCTAGGGCCAGCTAGCTGTTCATAAGAAGTATAGGGGACAGTTGCTGCCTAGCTTACTTGCATTGTCAGGCCTTTAATGAAGGTCAGGGTTCATACATGTTTGTTTATATTACCTGCTCTTTATCAGTTAATCAAATTAAATTATACTGCATAGCACTGATATCGGCTAAGGGAAGGAACTGGAATGTGTAATTCAAGCTCTTTATTAGAAATGCATCAGGAAGAACAAAATTTTTTTTGAACTGCAATCTTGCTTTGGACTGTCGGTCTCTTTGTCTTGCCCACAGCACTGGTTCCAAATTCAGTGTATTTTTTCTTACACAAACTTTTTGTTAACAATGTAAAGAAAATAATTTTTTTTATGGTGAAAGCTAGTTGTGTAGTTCCTGTCTAATGTTGTCTATTTTATAAAAGACATTGCATCTTTTGTAAAATATTTGTGTAGCTGGCTGTCTTTTGAGATGCTAATTAGAAATGGAAATAGTTTTCCCCATGAAAATTATAAAATACATGATTCACTTTACAAAACATGGCCATCTAAATGCAACGCTCCTGCTGTTTTTTATTTACTCTATACTTTACTGCATTACCAGGAGTGAATTTCTATGTATTTCTCTGATTCAGAGCTTTCTTCTTGTCAGTATCTTTCTGAAAATCTCTTGACACCTTACTACAAATGAGTTTGAAAGTTGATGGGTTGTCACATGAAGAAGGACTGTGCGATATGGCTCACTGAAAGCTGGACACTTGTTACATAAAGTCATCAATATAGCACTGGGAGAATAAATCCCAAAGCACTTTGATATTTTCACACCTTACTTAAAGGCAGTGAAATAAAGGTTAGTTCATCATTTAATGCCTTTATCATGCAAGTTTAAGCTTTCAAGCAGTCCAGTGTTGCTGTGCTTTTTTTTCTTACAGTGTTTCAGAATTTAATGTTTCTGTTCTTTTGAATTTGCCTTGGATTCCTTTATAACAGAGGCTACAAATATTGTTTAATTTACTTTTCAGTAAAGCTGTCAGTTGTAATCTGCAATTTAAAAAAACTAATAAAACAAATCCTCATTTCACAATTTAAACCTTACTGAGTCTAATTCACTTGCATCACAAGTTTATTATTCTCCTGCGGCTTGACGTGCCTCCAATTGTAATTGTGTTGACCCTCCGATGCAGTAAATCTCCCCAGTGCTTATCAAACTGGGAGAGATAAGTCTACAATTTGGAACTTCATTAAATATCTCATTTATATTAAACAGATGATGGCTTTGAACAGAAATAATAATTTTTGCAGGCTCTGAGACCTCCCGATTGTGGTCTCCTCGACTTTGTAACGCGGTGTTTTGCAGACCTCCACCCCTCCTTGTACTGGGCGGTATGCCAGCGCCCAAATGTCAGAAGTTGTTAGTCCATCAGGCTGACTTCAAAGCCTCTGCTGTGGAGGCTGCCCCTGAGTGCTTTGTAGCCCTTGAAGCAGATTTTTAGTCATCTGGGGATTGCGGGTGGAGTGATTAATAATGGGCAACTGTTTAAAGAAAAAACAACCAACAAACAAGTTGCTTGTTATTGTAATTCCTGAAACTATGAACTGCTCTTCTTGTGCTCATTTGGAGACCGGTCCTGTGGAATAAGCATTCCTGGTTCCCAGTGGCTTCAAAGAGTTTGCAGTGTGCTCCATATCTTGCACTTTCTGTTCCCTGCTGTATTTCAATATGTATAAAGTATATACTGTGGGATTTGTGTAAGGACATTGTTCTTGAGATTTAACTATACACTTCAATACGAAGAGGTGTGTGGGTGAGAACAGCTAGCACTTTGATGTGTAAGTTCATACAATTACCCTGCAAAAGACATCTATTTTTTAATATTTGTATTTTTTTTTAATAGAGCTGGATTCGGTTCACACTGTTTAGGTGAGTTTAATGGTCTTGGCAAAGCTCCTTTAGTAGCGTTACTGAGTACCGGCAGAGTGCTGGAGCTCGGGTGAACCAAGAGCTTTAGGGGCAGGAAGGCTGGATGGTGCAAGACCTGGGTGACAGTGTGGGTTGTCTCTTATGTCTGCAGTAAGCAACTGGGTGCTGACAAATTGGGCATCCGACCTGACCGGTGAGCACACAGGTGCTTGTCCTCCTCGCTCCCGGGGGCTGCCTTGGCAGTGGAGTTGCCTGTGGCTAAGCCCAGCTAGATGATACCAGGTTGTTTTCTTTCTTTGCCTTGCACAGGTGCTGCTTTTCTTTGAGCTCTGATTGTGTGGGACTCACTGAGGAAAACTAGGCTTTTTCCTCTCTTTGAAAAATCTGAGAGGCATATGCAGGAAAACAAGGAATGACCAGCTTCTGCAAACAAGGGCTGAGCTGGGAAGTTGCTCCGGGAGCCTTCTGATGGAAGGCAGCTGGGGCAGGGGGGTGGCCGTATGCGTAGTCTTCTTCTCTGTGCATGTGGCCAAGCAGCCCGTCTCCATCGCTTCTTCCACCACCTACTTCATCTGCCTCGTAATGCCCTGGGGAGGTGTGCCTGGGGTCGTGGTGAGCAGGGACCTGGCAGCTCCACGGCAGGAGGGCTGGGTTGAGGGGGCACCTCAGATTTTGCCAGTTCTGGTTTTTGTGGCTCTGCCTGGATGCTGTGGCAGTGCCAGGGATCAGGAAAGCTTCCAGACTGAACAGAGTCCGCGGGGCCTCTGCACCCTGCGGCCAGGAAAGGCAGAGCAAAGAACTCATCATAAATTAAAAAAAAAAAAAAAAAAAGAAAATAAAAGTGAATGTGAAGCCCAACTTCTTTTTTTCTTTTCCCTCCTAACTGCAAAATGAGTGTTTGTGTATCAGTTACTAATGTGTGTGGTGGGGTTTCCTGGGGGTTTCCATGATGGTTACATTTGAAAGCAAATTGCAGCACTTCAAAAAGCACCAGAAACCCAATTCCAAGCGGAGTTCCTGCTGCCCGCTCCTGATGGGCCTTGTTCTGACAGGCTGTCAGTGTGGGAATGATGGCTCAGCTGTCTGCCCGATACTGTCGAAAAAAGCCAAAACTGTCTGTTTAAAAAAACTATCCAACAAAGAGACACCAAAATGCAAAGGCTTTTTTTCACCAATTTTCTCCTGAAGGATTTGAAATTTGACAGAGCACCATGAGAGGTGCAGTGTAAAGTGTCTCAGAAAGTTGGTCATTAAGCGGAGCTGTCATTGCAAATTATCTTTGTCCAGGGTGAGAAGTTCTAGCTCATTTGGTGCCCAGACAGGTCTGGGCCTTAGGCAAGTTGTTACAGTTCCCCCATGCCGCTAAATGGACCCTGGGTGCTAATTTTCCTCTCTCTGTGCAGCTGGAGTCACCTGGGAGCCCCTCTGGGCCTGAGCTGCCCATAGAGACGCTGCTGGATGACCGGGAACGGAGGATTTCCCACTCCCTCTACGGCGGGATCGAAGGTCTCAGCGAGTCGCCCACAAGGAACGTGGCGCTGAGCAGGATAATGGGTGAGTCCCATCAGCTCTGCTCACCGGGGTGTGGTTTTGTCCCTCTCCGTAATGCACCGAAGGGCGATTAATGTGTTATGTGTGTTGGAATGAGGGAAGACAGAGGTTGCACCGACCAACTTAGAACGTGCCTTAGCATGGTTGCACACAAGCCTTCTGGATAGTTAATGTGAGAGAGAAAGTCAGTAAATAGAATCATAAAGTGAATTTTGTGTCCTGTGGCAGGTAATGGAAGAAATAATGGGTGAATTTAACATGGTTTTGCAGTGTCTGATCTGGGACAATAAATTATTGGCTGGTCAAGTCTCCATGCTGAGCCTTCATTCGCCTGAAAGTCAGTGACTCATGGGAATTTATGATTAATTTCAGCATTTCTTCTCCTCTGTTTCAGTCATACTAAAGTACAAAAATAAATAAGGCAAACTTGCATCCATTTATGCTAATTTGAGTATTTCATTAATTTGTTTGAATTTTTGCTTTGCAGGACACCAATTTTAAAACCTCATAACTAATTTCAAGCTTCCCTTGTGCAGATTCTGTGCCATACCATCTGCATGGCCCCAGTGGATAATGAGGTTATTAGCGGTTGCTCTGCAGCAGTTCAGCTTCCGATGTACAGAGCTAGGTAATAAAGACTTGTCTTGCCACAGGAGTGGTTGGATTTACTGACTAGGATGGGATTAGTTTGAAAGGATTTTCAAATTTAAACACAAAAAGCAGCTTGATGAAAATAGCACCTGACAGAAGACGTGACAATTGCTTGCTTGAGTTGCAAGTTTTAAACAGAATATGTGGACATTAAATCTGGGGCTTTTTTTATTGTAGTTGACACGCACAGACTATATTGGAAGATTCCGCTATAAGCGTAATATGATGCAAGGCTGAACTTAGTTTTTAATTCCTTGAGATTGATTTTCAGCCTTTAGAAAATGAAAGTCCACCACTTAGGCTTTTTCCAGTCAACAATTTGTATATAAATACTTCACTCTGTTTTGGAGTTATTTGAGGTTTTTGTTGAATTTTTGTATTTTTCAGTTTGCTTTTTTTCATGCTGTAGTAGAATAACACTGTTGTTAAACTCTCTGAAAATCCACAAATTTTCTACTTAGTATATTTCATCAATTAAGTCTTTTGTCTCTTTTTTGTGTATTTGGGCAACAGTAGTTAGAAATAAATCATATTCTGTTCTGTTGCATTACATTTCGTGCAGACCAGAAGAAAAATTATATTCCTGAAAATCAAGGAAGCATGAAACCTTTTCACCCAAAGTCATATGCTCTTAAAGAGAACAATTTAAAAAACCATTTATTTGTTGACAAATTCAAGAAGTGATAAAATAATTTGAAGTCTTGAACAGTACTCTCCCATAGAAGGGACTAGTTCTTGTGGTGTCAAGGCTTTAGATAAAATATTTGCAAAGTACTACCTTCTGCTTTTTCCATCAGTGTTGCAGAGGATTTACACATAGAGCTCATATAAGCGTTAACGAGTTATCGCTTAAACACCTTGTCCAGTGATGGGAGAAGAAACCCCGAGAGAATCTGTGTGCATGTGTGTCTGCAATGCACTTTATTTCCACGTTGAAGGAACACAGGACTTGCCATGGCAAATTGAACTAGTGGTTCATCAGTCTGGTATCATTCCTTTAGTAGTAGCCGGTAACTGATATTTCAAAAAGTCTTTCCAAAGGTCTTAAAATCTAATGCTTTTGGATTCCTCTGCAATGCAGACATAGGGAAAAAAAAAATCCATCCTGCATTTTGTAAGAGTTTTATAACCTAAAGTTGGTGTTTTGCTTTCCTCTGAATCATCATTTTTCTGCATTGTTTCCAGAAACCAACAACTATGTAGAAAATTGGTTCATTGTGACTTATATCCAGGGATACTTTAGTTGGAAGCACATGGAAAATCAAATTGTGCCTAAACCTCATAGAAAATATGATCTAGTCCAGCATAACTGAAAACTGGTCTCACCAGAACTGGGTCGTTCCCTTCTGCAATCACGGCAGCTTCACACAGGTGTCATGTTTAAACCCAGTTTTTAAGTAGCAGTCAGCTTTCTAATATGTTAATTTTTCTGAACTAATTAGTACCATCAAGTTAAAACTGCAGTGTTTATAATCTTTTGTGATATTATTTCATGCATGTTTTCCTGCAGCACCATACAACACAGAGGTATTATCACCTGTTGGCAGAGATAGGTACAGTTGCTTGTTTCAGAGTAGCTAATTTTTGTAAGACTCAGTTATTTATTATGCGGTGGAATTCCTGTCCTGTTAGCATTGATAAGGTGAAAAAACTCAGAACTTTTTTTATTTTCTTCAGAATGTATATGTGGTGTTACGTGACTCTTCCGGAGTCTTCCTTCTCTCTTGTAAATTGTCCTAAAAGCAGGGGGATTAGTCCTAGGGACAATCTGGCTGAGGAAGACTCGAGATCTGTACCTTTCCAGGTTGGTCCTGAACATGAAAACAAGCCAAAAGGAGTGTTTTATGCAGTGCTGATTCCCTTGAGTGCTCTCCCCATATCGACGAGCCTGCTGACTTATGGGCTCTCTGAATCACCTGATGTCTTTTTATTTACCCCTCAATGGATTTAACTGTGTAAACTTTCAGTACTCTCAGTACCTTGTGTTGAGGAGGTCACAGTTTGATTTCGTGTGTGAAAGCATAGGTCTTTCTGCTTCTTTTGCTGTTGGATAAAAATTATGGATTTTGAGTTTTCTTCCTTCCCAAGTTAGACTATTCAAAAGTGATAATCTCAAGGTCTGGAAAATGCCTGCTCTTTTCAGTCATTGCTTAAAGTTGGAACAGAACTTTCAAGAGAGTTTTGTTTCTTTTAAACACATTTAATGTAATTTTCAGGAAAGGTATTTAGGACAATTTGCTTACTCTTTCAATCCAAAACTGACAGCAAGAACTGTTTGTCAGATCCTTGCTGTGAGAGTGGGAATAAAATACCAATTTTAGAACATGTTTTAAATTATGTAAAATAATGTTTACTTACTGCAAAAAGTCTACATGAATCTTTTAATGTTTCTGATGGTTCTTATGTTGATCTACTTTTCTAGATGATTATTGCTATCATAGATTTTCTTATTCTTTTTCACTTCATAATATTTCAGTGAAAATTTCTGATGGAGAGGAGATACCACTATCTGTATTTGGGAATTATATTTTTGTTTTGATGAGACATTTTTTTATTTATACAAATTGGGTGTTCTCTTCTAAGAATTAGATGGCTATAATAAACCCTTATGTTTGTTTGTTTATTTTTAATATCTGCAGGTTGCATGCTGTTAGTACATTCAGAATAACAACTGTGTTATGCTGGTTTGCTTGGCTCTGTGATTAAAAATTCAAGTCTCTTCTGATGCACCATTCTTGTGTATCACCCGTTATGCTCCTCAGTTTTGCAATACACAAATACATAGCTGCTGTCTCTATAAATTATTCTTATTCAACAAACAGCTTAGTACAAAGTCCTCTTTCATGTCTTTCTTCTAGTTGCTGATATTTTTTTCTGAACATGGTGGGTTTTGTTGCTAACGGTGACTAAACAACAGTTATTTATCGGGGGTACACAGAATAACAATAGCTTGCACTGAATCTGGTTTTCATCCTGAAGGATCCCCCAGAACTTTGTAAAATTTGATAGTTCCTACGCAACAGGAAGTACTTTGTTCTCTACATAAATAATTACTATCTTAAACATAGAATCATGAGGAAGCACTACTGAAAAAAAATTAGCTAGAGATGTAGAGCGTGTGTGTCAAAGAAATGAAAATAATCCTTCACAAGCAGAGTGCAGTTCTCCTGCCAGGAGTCTCGTCAGAATGTGGTGGTCTGCTACAGTAATCTTGACAGATCTGAGCACTCTCTTTAGATCCCAAGCCTGGATATAGTAGACACATTTTTGTCCTTAGACGTTTCCCCCACATGTATTCCCAATCCCACCTCTATTTAGCTTGGAAAATTAGAATATGTGAGTATTTTGCCAAAGCTCAGTATATTGCTGCGGACAAATATGCTATTAGTGAAAAATAAACAAATTAAGATCTTGAGAAATTCTAATTTCTTTTTGCACAATTCTCTGTATCCTTCTTGTAGGAAGTGTCATCACTACGATTATAATCATCAACACTTATTTTCTTTTGTTATTATTTCTCTTATTTATTACTCTGTTTATTACTTTGGTTAGTGCTTAATTATTCATCACAGGAGTAGCTGTTACTGTTTTCTTGGCCAGGCATGTTAGGAATCACTTTCCATGTCAGAAAGGCCCTCTACTTGTGGAAGAGGCTTGAAGTGTACCATTGGTCTGAATCCTGCGAGATTAAAATGCTCATGAGAGTCACTCATAAAGTAAGACTTGATTTTAAACAAATCATAAGTGTTCAACAGATTTCTTAGACCTTCATTTAAAGAGAAAGCAATAGCAAAAGCACAAGGACCAAGCTAGATACAGTACCATGAGAATGCAGTGTAGTATGGGAGCCAAGTTGTTACCACAAACAGATTGACCAAACTTCAGGGATTTTCATGCTTTAGAAGGACCTGGAGTAGCTGGGTTCATCATGAGTAAGCCTGTTGTTCATTTCTGATACTGTGTATGCTCAGGGTTTTTTTGAAACACTTTATGTTGGTGGTTTAATGCAGGTCCAAACTATTTTCTGGTGTGTTACAGGTCTATACAGTTACAGGTTTGAAGTGTTAGTTTGGTGTATTTTTCCCTCTAAGCTGAAGGTGTCATAGACCTGGAGAGCAGCCATTTGGTACTGGAGCTCTGAGACTTCTTTTTCCGCACAGACAGATGGGAACCCTTCTTACCCCATAGTTTGGTATTATCCTCGGGCTACATGTGTTTAGATTGGTAACTTGTTCAAGAAATTTGAGCCTCATTGTCCTGGGATGAGACATACTTGAAAGGGAGAATGTTTTCCCTTCCTTATTACACTGTCCAAAATACTACGTATGATTACAGATTACCTTTCTGAAGTTGAATTAATATATGCAAAACTGGACTTGAAGTGTGTTCAGAGTCTAAATTTTATAGTACTTTTCTAGCCCAGGGGAAAATTAATGTCTTGGAGAGGTTGGTAGTCAGCTCGAACAAAATCTTAGATTTGTAGATCAGTCAAATATACTGATGATTAGTAGGTTTGAAGTTTCTTTGATGTTTCCTTGTAATGTTTCTCACAACACTTGCAGAGTTGCTTTCTCCAAGGGTATTTTCTGTCCACTTCAGATGAGCTCTCTACAAAGGACAACTTGAGTCCATTGCTGAGGTCTGTCTAACCATCTGCTGAAGGTGAAGCCTTTCACCTGTTTTTAGCTTCATCTGCAGTGAAAAGCATGGGCACGTCAGAAGGGTTTTCTCCTTAATTCCAAAGCAACTATTAAAATGTCAGTCTTTACCCTTGTCAGATATAAAGAACAATAGTGAAAAGTTAAAAATGTTACTGAATTACTGTAGCCTCTCAAATGGGAAGTTCAATCTGCCAAATGCCATAAGGTTATACCTTTTCACAATCAATTCTTTGGAGACATTATTAACTAACAGAGTTAACAGTCTTGTAGGCATTATGTTTGGAAAGAAGTACATTACCAGGCTGAACATTAACCTGTCCATCAAAGAAGCTATTGCTGGGTAAAGAATCAGCTGTTACGCAAACTGAACACATTCATATCAGTTTGACAGTGATGAGATGTTCTCCATGCAGTACCTTTTCCTTCCAGCCACTTTTTCAGCCTTCTTCAGTGATCTCTTTTGAAGCCATTTTTTCCCCCTTTGGAAAGCTATTCAAAATGTATTATGTAGTGCAGCGAAGATTTTAGCTACTCTTTATGCAGAAGGTTTTACTTGGTTTTTTTTTAATAATTGTATGCAAAGGTAGTGATGGTAACTGAAACCTTTCCAGGTTATTTTCCCCTAATTCTACAAATTTTTTCCATATCTGTAGTAAAAATAAAGGGTGAAAATATTTAATGTGTCCCTACAAGGAGTTTATGTTATGGAAATATGAGTTTTGGTATATATTACTGCAGTTCATTAGAGTTTTAGAATAATCTACAGTTTGTTGTCAGATTAACGGTTGATTAAACTAGTGCTTTTCTTCTCATGAGGTGTGACAATTTTACTAATTATTTTAGTAATATAATACATTTCCAGAAATAAAATTAATGTAGTGTCGTGATCATTCATTAGAAACAATTTTGTGTGTAGTGAGAGTTAGGACCAAACATTGTAAATGACAGATCTTTTTGAGTCGAGTATCAATATCTAGGAGAAAAAAATATTTTTAAAGAGATTCTGTCACATAAAAAAATATGTGCAGCTAATGTGAAAGAATCACACTTAATTAGCCGTTGCCTCAGATCATAGAATCATAGAATGGTTTTGGTTGGAAAGGACCTTAAAGATCATCTAGGTCCAACTCCCCTGCCATGGGCAGGGACACCTCCCACCAGCCCAGGTTGCTCAAAGCCTCATCCAGCCTGGCCTTGAACACCTCCAGGGGTGGAGCATCCAGAACTTCCCTGGGCAGCCTGTTCCAGTGCCTCACCACCCTCACTGCATGATAACTAAATAATTTCCATCCGGATTTGCAAATCTTTATTTTCGTTACAGGAAATTTTAGCTTAGTGTTTCTAGATACAGAAGTAACCTCTGTTTATTCCAAGTTAAAATGTTAAATGGTGATAATTCTGTATTGCTACCATCTTCCAAATGATATTGTATAACCTTCATCCTCTCAACTCTGCATCTCATGCATGTATCCTGAAAAACAGATTTATTCAGTTTAAACCATAATTACGTTACAAAGCGTTGCAATGAAAATATTATTCCTTCTGATAGTCTTTATAGCTTTTTAGTTGGTTTTGATGGCATACAAGTTTTCTGTATGTTTAAAAGTTGCTTCTGCTTTTTATACAGCAGATTGAAAATTGTTATGAAATCTTATGCATTGAAATGGTTACTGGAAAATATAATTATGTGTATGTATTTATCCCTATAACAGCAGCAGTGATAGTGGCTTTGTAATATTTATATGCACATTAAAACTGATTTTTACTTTGAAATGGTGTTTTACTAGTTTGTAAGAGTCCTCTAAATATCATCTTTTAATTGCTGCTGTCACGAATTAACCCAGTGAAGTCTGCTACTGAACAAAGAATAATGTTGAGTCCTTATTATGTCTCCTTTGTCTAGGTGATGGCTCTAATTTAACCATTTTAACAACAGTGTTAAAACTTATTTGAATTTGGTGGCAATAGAATTAGGTAACTTTTTTTTCCAAATTTTATATGTGTACTTCCAGATTATGTTGTAAAGGAGAGAATGAAAATTTGGAATCATTTGGCTTTAGCTGTGAGTTGTTATCACCCATCATAATTCTTATCTTTGTCAAGGCATTATTAAAAGGTTCCAAGTTCCCAACAGCAGTGAAAGAAGTTTCAAATTTCATGAGAGCAAGACTGGTCATGGAACAGGCTCTCTTGGAAGCCATGCTGGGGCACCTGGAGGACAGGGAGATAATTTGAGACAGCCAGCATAGCTTCACCCAGGGCAAGTCCTGCCTTACCAACTTAGTGGCTTTCTATGAGGGAGTAGACAAGGGAAGACCCATGGATGCCATCTGTTTAATATCTTCATCGGTGACATAGATAATGGGATTGAGTTCACCCTCAGTAAGTTTGCAGATGACATCAAGCTGAGTGGTGAGGTTGACACCCCTGAGGGACAGGATGCCATCCAGAGAAAACTTGACGAGCTGGAGAAGTGGGTTTCTGAAAACCTCGTGAGGTTCAATAAGGCCAAATGCAAGGTCGTACACATGGGTCGGGGCAACCCCCAGTATCGATACAGGCTGGGGAATGAAGAGATTGAGAGCAGCCCTGCAGAGAAAGACCTGGGTGTCCTGGTGGTTGAGAAGTTGGACATGAGCTGGCAGTGTGCACTTGCAGCCCAGAAAGCCAACCATGTCATGGGCTGCATCAAAAGAAGTGTGGTCAGCAGGTCAAGGGAGGTGATTCTGCCCCTCTGTCCTGCTCTCATGAGACCCCACCGGGAGTACTCTGTCCAGCTCTGGAGCCCTCAGGACAGGAAGGACATGGACCTGTTGGAGCAGTTTCAGAGGAGAGCCACAAAAATGATCAAAGGCCTGCAACACCTCTCCTATGAGGAGAGGCTGAGAGAGTTGGGGTTGTTCAGTTTGGAGCAAACTCCAAGGAGACCTGATTGCAGCCTTTCAGTACCTAAAGGGGGCTTATAAGAAAGATGGGGATAAACTTTTTAACAGGCTCTGTAGCAATAGGACAAGGGGTAATGGTTTTAAACTGAAAGAGGAGAGATTTAGACCAGATACCAGGAAGAAATATTTTACACTTAGGGTGGTGAAACAGTGGAACAGGTTGCCCAGGGAGGTGGTAGATGCCCCGTCCCTGGAAACATTTAAGGTCAGGTTGGTTTGGGCTCTGGGCAACCTGATCTAGTGGAAGATGTCCCTGCCTATTTTAAGGGGGTTGGGCTAGATGACCTCCATGGTCCCTTCCAACTCAGGCTATTCTATGATTCTATGATACTATGATCAGGAGAAGCGATGAGCTCTGTTAGTCCCCATTGAATTCACTCTTTGTTTCTACCAAATGATTTCATGCAAGAGAAGATACTGTCTCTGGGACAGGTGCTTTTCAGTGTTTCCTAGTGACAGGACCTGAGACAGTGTGCACAGACAGAAACACAGGAGGTTCTCTGTGAACATCAGGAAACTTTTTTTTTTTTTTTTTTACTGTGAGGGTGACTGAGCGCTGACACATGTTGCTCAGGGATATGGTGGAGTAGAAATGTTCAAAAAAGCCATTTGGTCAGGGTCCCGGGCAACTGGCTGTAGGTGTGCCTACTTGAGCAGGGGGAAGTTGGACCAGATGAGAGGTCACTTCCAACCTCACCCCTTTTGCGGTTCTGTGATCTTCTTGCACTAGGCCACAGATACAACTGGTGTATATTACTTTTCACACCTCTGCATAGGAAGATGTGTATAAAGTGAGACATAGTTAATTTATTTTCTGTGTTTTGTCACTCTTATCAGTAGCATTGCAGTCTGACATGACATTTTGTTAACCGTGATTATATATTATTCAGGGCACTCTGCCATTATTTAGTTTTTGGGTTTTTTTCTCCCTTTTATTGTTCAGGTAAATATCAGCTGTCTCCAACAGTGAACATGCCCCAAGATGACACTGTCATCATTGAAGATGACAGGCTGTCGGTACTCCCTCCTCATCTTTCTGACCAGTCGTCATCCAGTTCCCACGATGATGTTGGGTTTGGCACTGTTGATGCTGGTGGATGGGCTAAAGCTGCAATTAATGAGTCAACAGACTGGTAAGAACATGGTTTAATGGAAGGAAAAAAGAGATGACTGCAGTTACATCTTTTCCGTTAGTTTAATTTTTGGCTACTGCTAATATTAGTCTTCATCTTTTTTTTACTCATCACATTTAGAATTCACTGTTTTCAAACTGGTAATTGTCTGTGTTTCAGGAAGGAAGTCTGTACAGATAATTTATGAGACTTTCTGCTTCTGGTTGCAGTTTTGTGCTCTGTCAAAGCACATTTGTGGAAATGTTACTAATTGTTATTAAGACCAAGTTGGCATATAGCTGTGTGATATGATATTAATCTAGTTGCCAACTGAGCTAGCTTTTGTAAAAAAACTTTGCAACATTTAAACACTCGATTTTATGAAATAATAATTCCAAGTTGAAATTTTAATTTATAAACCTCACTGTAAGTATTTCTAAGTCCATAAAAGAAATATTTTATTTTTCTATTCCAGTATATATCTGGGGAGCCTTTTAGTAATTCTGTACACTTTCCTGATTTTCCTAATAATGTACAGTAATTTTGAAATCTGCTTAGAGGTCAAGGCATCTCTTTGTTTTGCCTTAGCGTTAATGCTTTTGCAACAAGAACTAGTTAAGATTTCTATATTGTGCAAGAATAAATACCTTTCATTATCGTTATATGATTTGTAACTGTCATGCAAAGGCAGTGTATGGTAATAGCTCCACATTTAAAAATATGGAAAGTATTAGTTCCACATTTAAAACTATGGAAAGAAGCTTTATATGTTTAATCTGTAGTAAAAATTTTTGGGAAACTTAGGTTGACTCTCTAATTACTTTTATACAATTTAATATAAGAGTATTAATAAGAAAAGCATACAGATCCATTGTTGACTTGGTTAGGTTCCTGGCAAAGAAATACTGTTTATTGCTTAGTTAGTACAAGTAATACAGATCTAAGATTTAATTTGCAAGTCCTGTCATTATCTATAGTAATAGTAAAATAAAAGCCCACCCCTGTACACTGACACTTCTTGAAGCTAGATAATTACCACAAATGGTGTGAAGTATATGAATTTTCTTATTTTTCTTGTCTCTTGAGCCTGTTATGAATATGTCAGCAATATCTTAATAAAACAGCAATAGCACCTGCCAGCTGATATGCACCTGTCAGCTTCTTCTTTTCTTTATATTAGTTTATTTCCTCTTACATCCAGGAATTGTGTTCTGTATTTTCAGCACTGTTTTAATGATTGTATAAAAAGGTAATTTTTTTCATCCTCATTTGCGTTTTATTTTAATGTTGCGGCTCTTCTCTTGGACAAGTCATACTTGTACTTTGGGCCCTTGAAAAGTCCATCTGTCTTTGTTAAAAGCTTTCAGAGCTGAGCATCTCAAACGTTTAGATAGAATAGTACTCAAGGCTGCACGTAATAGCTTACTGCTGAGGGAATTTTTTTAGCCGAATATGAGCAGAAACCTACAGCATAAAGTAAGAGCACATTTGAAACCTGCAGTTGCTTTTACATTTACTTTTGCAGCATATCTTGCTATTCATATACTTCTTTGAAAATGAAAGTAACAATAAAGAAAATAGGGATTAGATATTGTGGAATTGATCATGCTCAAAACCTTTAAATGTGCATCTTTATGAGAAATTGTAAAGGTCTTCAGACACAATTGCACTTAAAAGAACAGATCAGTGCAGTGCCTTACTATCTAATGTATTCTATTTGTAAAAAAGTAAATAGCAGTAGAATTAGATTGTTGCATTAATTTCCTGCTGCTAATGGATGAAGGAAGACTTGTAAAACGAAGGTGCATTGTATGATTTGGCTGGAAGGCACAAAGGGTAACACTAAGAATATGGATGAAGGGTTATCCAAACAAGAATGGCAGCTGTTCTGAATCACTGAAGAAAATGTAAGCTTTTCCAGCCTCGCAGTATCTCCCTAATCCTTGATGAAAATGTTATGAAAACAAAGGGGCAATAAGACAGGATTAATAAGTGGAATTTTAATAACATCGAGGGTCAGAAGATGGTTACATTCTTTTAAGGATCAGCTGTCATTCCAGAAATCTTATTTGTTAAGTATGCTAGAATATAGTAAATTGCATTTGGCATTGCTTAATGACTTGCACTAAATTCACCTTCTGTCTTTTATTAATGTAGTTGAAAAATATTAAAATGAGGCATTTTTAGGGGCATTAGTTCCTCTTCTGTGCTCACTGGCTTTTCCAGCTATGGATTTTCACGGGGGCTTTTGAATGCTTTTAGGCAACGTACATGTATTCAAACACCTCTGATCTGCACCTTCCTTAATTACTAAAACACGCTCATGTGTCATTAATAGAAATAAACCAGGACGTGAAAACTGATGGCTCTTCATAGGGCTCAGATATTTGCACTGTAAAAAGGTATGAAATGTCACGATGTCAGAGAACAAGTAATTTTTGGTGCTAAGTGTTGCCTTTAGTATGCAGGATACTCTGCAAACTTGGAGTAATCATCCCCCTCAAAAGAGTGTGTGGAAGGCAGGTGTGGTGGGGCAGAGAAGGTAAGCAGAGAGAAAGCCCCTAAAGGCAGTGTCAGTGGAAATGCTGGGATCTGATCTCCAGAATTCCCAGTTGCTGATGCCATGTCCAGACCCCACTGCTCTCTCTGGGGCCTGTGGCACTGTTTTCAAGTTTTATTTAACTTTGGAGTTTTCTTCACGAATTGAATATATATGTGCATTCTGTATTTACATGAAAATTATATTCAGCTTTATTAGAAGCTTTATGTATATGGATCAAAGCAAACTCAGATGAAAAAAGGAGCATACAGCCAAAACAAATAGTTTTAGAAATTCACCCTTTTTGAAGAAAATGTCGCAGGATACATTTTGTTCGGCAAGATGAAGCCGGTCAACTTTAACTAACATGAGCTGTGTTAACAGATGTTGCTGGAGAAAATTCTCACTTAGTAAAAGCACATTTTTCTGGCCTTCAGAGGCAGGGCTGACTAGCAGTGAGCCAGAAACTCCTGTGTGGCCTTGGGAAAGTCATTTATGATCTGATTATGAAAGGTGTTGAAACCCTGTAAGTTCAGTTGGGTCACTTGGAGGATGTTTTCAGGCTTAGGTGGTTCTTATTCAGCTACGTGTTACGCTGCTGTAAATGCTAAAAGTGTGTATTGGCCTTGTCTGGTTTATCTTTTTATCATGTGGAGATAATTTTTTCCCTGTTTTGTGGGAGTGAATGTGAGGACTAAACAGTTATTTTTGAGTTCAGGCTCTGATTCATCAGAGCTTTTAAGCATATGCTTCAAAACCTTGCTAAATTGTACAGACATCTCTGAAATAGTTGCAGTAATTAAATGTAAAACATTATGAGCCTGAGCCAGAAACATTAAAGTCAAAAGGCACTTGACATTGACTTTATTCATATGAGCTCTGATCTGGCTCTCACTTAAGTATTATGTGCTTGTCACACGCACATATCTTATTATTTGTGAGTCTGCCAATAATAGACTGAATTTCTTCTAGGCTTTCTGATAATGCAGGTAGTGATTTTCATCCTTTATGGCACTTGATGCCTTTGGACACTTTCCCTAACATCTCTTCACTGTTGTGCCTAATACCCAGGTGTTTCTTGATCAAAGATGCTTCTATAAATTATAGTACATTGCATACATAAACATGGGCATGTTACAGAATTTAAAAGTGTAAGTTGGTTTCTGCAGAAATTCACTATTTGCTGTTTTCTCAGTAGGTGTGAGATGTGTATTATACTCAGGCTTTGAAGTGGAAAATAATTCTTTTGAAACATGTTACTGAACAGTAACATGTATGTGTACAGTATTTTGAATGGCATTTAGTCTATTTAGAGATCTCAGTGACAAAATATTGATCTTTTTTTTATCTTGAAGTACAACAGCAATCAAAAAGGGGATTTTGAGGGATCTTTTTGATATAGGATAGGTAACAATGGTGAAAAATACACTTTTTTTTGTTTTTTATGCCTTTGATTTCTTTTTGTGCCAGCTGAAGTAGAAATCTAAATTATTTGGCTTGCCTTCAGGCTCTTTTTAATACTCTCCCCTCTTCCAGGAATCAGAAGATCTTTGTGTGAATTGCTTTTCATATTTCTTATTAGCAGTAAACAATCAACAATCTTGCAATGTTGTTTTATTTTTTTTTTTGTTTTTAACGTGTGGCCATGGTGACACATTGCAAGCCTAGGGTTTAGCTTGCACACCAAAGTTTCCCTGCATTCTTCTATTCATGATTCTGCCAACATTTGACCAACATTAATAAATTTATTTTCAGCATGCTTCTGATGAAGCATGGTGGAATGCTGATCACTGCTCACTGAAGACCTGACTCACCCAGCCCAGGTGATGTGAGAAACCTGCAGAAGAGACCGAAATTCAGTCCAGTTACCCCCATTTCTGATTTAGTGGTGAAACCATTGTGGCAAATACTTGCTCTGTAGGGAAGTGATGAGTGGAAAATATGTTAGTCTGTCATAGGCAGGTTAAAATCAGGATATGCTATGAAAACTTTACAAGCAATTTCACATATGGAGAGAAGTTTTAATGCAAAGTCTTTAAATGAAGAAGTTTAAAGCTCTGTGGGCTTCAGGCAGGACAGATTCTATTTATGCTTTACTAAAAACATTTTGTGGTGAAGAAAAATCTGATAATTTGCTAACAGAATATATTTGTTTCTCATGAAGAAAAAGAAACTGTTTTATTCTCCCTCAAATTATTCCTGTGTTGAGGCTGTGCATTCTGTAATAGTACATGTATCCTGCACCAGATACGTATATCTTTCATTAAAGCTCGTAAGTGAAATTCTCGGTACTTTTTAACTAGAATTGCTCAATGCAGTCAAACAAATCCATCGTGTGTAACTGACTACTTGCAGTGTTTTATTTAAAAATGTGCACTTTATCATTGGTAGAAGTCATGTGCTAACTAAATGCTTTTCTCTGCAGAGTGAAAGGTTGCGTGATCTTGATAAATGTTCGCATGATTTTTTTCCCTTCCTACAGCACTCTTAGTCCAGATGTTGATCCAGTGCTTGCCTTCCAGCGAGAGGGTTTTGGACGCCAGAGCATGTCAGAAAAGCGTACAAAGCAATTTTCAGATGCCAGTCAGTTGGACTTTGTTAAAACACGAAAATCCAAAAGCATGGATCTAGGTAGTGAGTGATGTTTTTTCAATTGTTTTATTTGAACCTGATTTTCATGTTGTAAGTATATAGACTTTGTAATTCCAAATACATTGTTTATGTGCAGGACTACTGCACGTGATGTCTACTGGTAGAAAGTATTCTTAAGATGAATGGCCAAATGGCCTGTGCATTGTTTGTACCACTTTTAAATGTCCATACATTTGAATATTATAGTCCTCTGGATATATGGTTATACAAAAATACTAGAAGTATTTATTAAAATGGAGGTGAAAAGTGTGTTTACCAATCCATATAGAATAACTGTGTAAAACTGTACCATGCTGTGGTGCTGGGTAGACAGGATTATTCTCAGTTCATGATTGTAATGAAATTAGCTGTAAAGATCCTTCGTAGTCTCTCATTTTGTAGATGGATTTTGATTAAAGATGCAAGTTTGGTTTTTTTGAAGAATTCATTCAGAATTAGAAAATGGGGCTAGTCTAACATCTATTTGAGACCAAAGTTTTAATATTTATACCAGAAGCCCTATAAAGTAGCAGTGGCTCAGGCAGGCAATTGACTATAACCATTTTAAATGATAAAGCAACTGAGCATAAGTAATCATTAACAAGCCCATCTATTTTTCTGCCATTGAATTTAGATTCTGAAGTGCAGACTCTAGTAATCTTAAACAGTGAGTTTCGATTGTTTAAACACACAAAATTCCCTACTCAGAATAATAAAATATAATATGATTCGCTCCTTTACAATAATTGTGAATATCTTAACTACAATCCCTAATGCACCAACTTCCTCAGGGGACAGTAAGGTTGGTGGTATTGACTTGTCTTGACTAGTTGTGATATGCTAACGTGTAAATAACATTGTACCTGCCTGTGATGTGAACATGACTGACATTGCATGAAGGTTTCTAGTTTGCTGCCATTTCTACCCAGAATGTTTGCTTACTGTTGCAATTTATTTGCATGGAGTATGACTTTGCTAAGGTCCCCTAACTTAAAAAAAAATACGCAAAACAGAAGGAATGTTGGATGCATGTGGGGCATGGGCACTAACTGGGCTAACCGTTATACATTTACCTTTTAACAGTAGCTGACGAGACTAAGCTCAGTACAATGGATGACCAGAAAACAGGTAAGAATCGACAGTAAGGCTGTTGCTATAGAAACCTTGGTCAAAGCAGCTTACCACAATTACGGAACTGCCAGTCAAATTGCATGAAAACATGAATATTCCAGTACTTGCATGGCTGCTTTCTATTGTTGTGAATAATCAAGTCATACAGAAAAAGAAAATTCTCTATGGAGCTATAAGTATCTAGGCTAGTATATTCAAGCAGGTCGTACATGTGACTGTAGGTAGACACCTGTTTCTACACTTTGATCTCATAAATATTCACAGTTGTTTGGATTTTTGTCCTTTCAAAAAAATTTTGGAAAATCTTCTAGCTTCAAACTCTGATGTACAGAGAGATGATGTAGAAGAGTCGAACGTTTGGCTCTTACAGTGCTAGCACAGTGCTTTGAAATAATTATTTTAATTAGAAAACTGCTACCTTTGCCTTACGTGGTCATAAGATAGATGTTGTGAGTTGAGTTGAATATTATTAGTGCAAGCTGATTTGCCTTTGGAGCCGAAACCCAATCATTGTAACAGAACAAAAGCATATGTAAATAGGATCTTTTCCACATACCATCAATTGTAACATTTCACACAATGATAATGAGAAATAGCTTTCAAAGCATGTTTTTTATTAGTAATTAAAATAATGCACCAACTGCAGTTACGAACCTTTATGATTTATTAATATAAGTTAGCTTTTGACCTTTGGAATGCTATTTTAATTAGGCTAGATCCAGAAAACACTATAACATAACTTAGCTCTAATTAGGAACAATTCACCTTTTTAACCTGAAAGTATTATTTATTTTAGCATAATTTGGGGAGTGGGGCATTCCATGCAGAATTTACAGTTACTAATTCACGACTGCATCTCTGTGTAACCACACTTCACAACATGAGTAGGAATACTGAAAGGCTGTAAGTAATCAAGTGTTAACATTATAATTTTTATTTAAATAGATAAAACTTCTAGCTCTTCAAATGTTGCAGAATATGGCCACAGACCTGCAGCTTTAGAAATCGAGAATGAGTACACAAAATTAAAATGTATGAATGTTTTGAAGGCTTAAAGCCATCAGAGCATGAATGTATGAATTGTGTTAATGGTTGTGGTAAGAATCAGTGCTTAGGAACTGCCTTCAGCTCAGAGCATTATTCACATAAAAAAGAGTTACAGATCAAACTCAAAATTATTGTTAATTGGTTTTCATTTTGTTATTAGCCTGCCTATTTGAATAGTCTGTGTTTAGAATGGTGTAAAACCTGTGTGTCTTGGTAAAATACTATGCTTAGGTTTTAAAAGTGCATAGTGGTTTTGGTGGTGTCAATAGAGGGTGGAATTAATCAACTGTAGTTTTCCTGTATGTGTAACACCTGGATTAAATTCCAAAAAAGAGACAAGTCAGGCAACTTGGGCAAAAGAGCATGACCGTAACCATCTGGACTAAGCAGTTACATATTTTGTGCACAGCAAGCTCAGTGGCTGGAAAAAAAAAAAGGAAAAACACCTTTTACTGTACTTTTATTTATCTTGCATGCTTTTAACCAGGTTTTGTATATAAACATTGGATTTCTCCCATTACTGAAGATGGATGTGGTTGTTAAACAAACCACTTACTGTAGTTTGTCTTTAAAAATCATCTGGTTCTAAGAAGAAAAATGCTTCAAATGTGTGGTGAACTATGTTTTAATGAACTGTAGAAGCCAGAAAACTTCAGTATGTATTTACTTTAGAAAAAATAAAAACAAACTCTGTTACAGTCAAAGTTGGACTTAATAGTATTGGTTGAAAAGGAGAGTGTAGAACTTACCAGTCCTAGATACTATAATAGATTTTTAATTATTTTTCTTTCTATAGTTCACTTGAAGTGCCTAATCCTTGCAGTGTTTACAGTTCATCCTAGGGGTTAGGAGTATATTCAGTAGCAATTGAGCATGGCTCATTTATTGAGTCCCAGACATACTAGGTGGTTATTTTTCCGTGTACACTTTGTGAAAATGAAGAAGGAAAAAAAAAATGAAAGAACATTTATTTAAATTGTATATTTATTTATTTTTACACAGTGCTTTTTAAATAAACTGTTTTATTAAATGGAACCAAAACTAAACTATTTTTGATGCAGTTTCTTGCTCTATTCCTTCCCTGCTCTCCCCAGCCAAAATGTAGCTCTTTTAGTGTATGAATTGAACTAGAAATAGAAGAATTTATCAAATCTAATGGAGCAGACATTAGTAAATAAATAGACTCACTGCTAATGTCCTTTGAGAAAGTGTTTAGAAAGTAGGCTTTGTTCCTTTGCAAAACTGGTTTAATCAAGTTGAGGGACGTTTTTGGCATCAGTTACTGGTAGCATTTAACCTGAGAGTTAATAGAAATAAATTTTCAGAAAGAAAAAAAAAATTGTTATTTTAAATAATTTAAAACAACGTGCTGATGAAAAACTTACTTTATAGCCTTTAAAATTAGTCACTGAAGAAAGCATTATATATCCTTTGACACTGTGCTTTTTGCCTTTGCAAATCACCCAGGCGGATTTGTGGCACTGTATAAACACTTAACACGAGAGAAGTGGAAGCATAATGAGTTGTTCAACAGCGTCAGCACAAGAGAAAAACAAAGGGCTTGGAGCAGGGAGCAGCATGTAGGCTTAACGCAATCTATGTGTATTAAATGTCTTGCTGGACCTGTGTGCACTGTGAAGTTCTGTAGTGAGGGCTGCCTGTGCCGCGGGAGAGCAGATGCATGCAATGCCAGTGCAGTTGTGCCCAAGCAGAGGGTGGTTGCATGGCCTGGAGGGCGAGGCTTGGCCATTGTCCCCAAGGGCTGGCCATCTGGGGACACAGGGGGTGGTCATGCATTCACGGTGGGCAGGGGCTGTGCTTGGCAGGGTGGTGTGAGCATCCTACAAAGCCCTTGAGAGATGGATGGGGATGTGTGGCATGTAGAGCCGTACAGCTGGGCGTGTTAGCAGAGTGTGTGGGGCGGCTGCACGTTTGGTGGGAGCTACAGTAGGAAGACTGCTGTGATACAGCTGGCTGAATCTACCTCAAAGGATATTTGTTAATAAAATTGTTGGAAAGGAAAATGTTGATAAACTTCAAATTTTAAAAATTATAAAAGAATCCCTTTTATCCCTCAGTCATATAAAGATGCTTTAGGTAGATGTGTCTTCCTCTCTTCTTTTTTTCTGCTTTAAATTCTGATGTCAAAATAGAAATAGAACTTGTTCTGAGCAGATAACATTTCCAATGATTACTACCAGCGCTGTAAAGGCTGGAAGAAAGTGCTGACATTTTTGTATTTAGAAAACAAGGTTTTGATGTGACTCATAAATTTTAAACAGAATAATTTTTAAAGAAAGTTTGTTTTTTCTCACCAGATTATGGGCAAACAACTCACTTTCTGGCTGGTGATTTCTAGTAATAAACTCCTGAACTCACTCAGTTTGCAGGGAGGATGAAATATGTGTTTTGAAAATAGTAGACATGCTATGAAGTGGCTGTAGAAGATGGTAAAGGTAGTAAAATACATATATCTTTATGATCACAGTGCTTAAATTGCTTACGAAAGGACATTTCCCTCTTTCGAATTCTGCAACCTGTCCACATTTGTGTTCACGGCCACCCAAGTTCAATAAATGTTCCCATCATTTCTGTAATCCATTATTAGTTTTACAGTACTCAAGGAACATTAGGTCATATCCCATCTAGCTTTTCCTTTGGGAAAGCACAGCTTACATAAATACAGATCTCACAAGGATCTGTATTGGGTGGCAGGAAATGGAATTTTTTTTTAATGTCCTTTATGAACACAAATGGGCACATAAATGCCTTCTTTATAATTACTGTTTACAAAAAGAGCCACTCAGTAATTAGGAAAAGATATATGAACATTTCATTTCAAGGTTGCAAAGCAGAATCTGGAATAAGGAAGTTTACAGTAAGTTGCCGTGTAAGAGGATACCCTTTCCTTTTGTATATGAAATTGAATCTGTCAAACAGCTGGTTTATATATGATTGTCCCATTTCCTATTTTTTTCCTTCAAAGTGTTGCATTCATTTTCCTGTCTCGTGGACTGTTTTTAACAAAATACAATCTTGAAAAGTAAAAAACAAAATAAAATCTCATTTGCTGTGTTCTGCAGGCATTAGGGGAGGAATAGCAAGTTTTGGCATATGCTAGAAAGTGGACGGTTTTATATGGCACTCTCTAAATTGGAATTCTTTTACTTGGTAAAGAGAGTGTTATGTAAAAATACTTGCCTTAGACTTCAGCCCATGTTCAGTAGTTTGGTGAACCTGGACTGCAGTTTGTTTGCACAGCTGGGGAGCCATCAAGCCCCCCTGGTCCCAGCTGGCGGCTCTTGTTCACCCCAGCAGCTGCACTGTGCCCCCAGCCAGCCTCATGACCCTCAGTCCTCCAACAAATACGGGCTGTGAGTGAAGGTGGATCCTTCTAGGATATACGAGTTCATCAAGATAAAATTTCTCATTTGTTGGTGTGTGTTTACTTCTAGCCGAGGGTCCAAGCAGCGGGACTGCAGACCACTGGGGGAACCAAACTACTGGAATTGTGTAGACCTGTGAAAGAGGACTTTTGGTTTTGTTTTTATTTTCAAGTTCATCTTATCAGTGTAGCAAGTGAAGAGGAATACTTTGAGAGCTGCTGTTTGAATTTATTTGGTCTGAAGGATTTCACTTTAACTTAGTTGCTCACTTTTAGTAGCTGAATAGAAAATGAAAGCATGTGCTGCCTTGCTCCATCTCATACCAAGTTAACAAATGACATGGAGAAGACCTCCCATGCTGCTATTCTGCATCCCTTCTGTAGGTCCAGCAGCCCCCTTCCTCTCTACTCAGTATTGGATAGTGAAAGAATCTGGTTTTAGTAGTGTAGCAGCAGTTTTCCCCAACTTAAGGTAACTTCACATACCTGTGTTAAAGAACAGTGACAGATACAGTCTCTCTTCTCCCTCCTAATGTCTGACAGAATAGGGATGAACTTCAGATCTTTATAGTATTCTGAGAGAAGTGCTTAAAAAAGATAATTTTCCTTTATTGCAGCATTCACACCAGACCATGTTTACAAATGTATTGTTCAATGGTTTGGTATTCCTGAGCGTTCAGTTCTTGGCTCTGTCTCTCAGTGCTGCCTGGCTTTGAAATTTATCTTTCTGTGCCTCTGTCAGATGAGGATACTGGTATCAGCTGAGTAACAGCCCACCATCTGGTACTGCTGTGGTGCCTCAACACCCTTCTCTGTTCAGCTCCTTTTGGGTACAGAAAAAGTGAGGTTTGAGGTTTGCATATTCTAGGTGAGGGGTCTGGCTTCATAACTTCAGGAAATGTAGTGATGATGATAGTGATGATGTCACACCTCATCTTGCTCTCCAGTCCTAAAATCTGGCCAAGACTATACCACACTTTTTAATAAAATCACTTCAAATAGATGCAGTGGTTTTTTTTTTACTCTGAAAGATTTCTCCCAGTTGTGATTGTGCAGTTGTCACCTGATTTGTGCAGCTGACAAGTGAGTGTATCTAAAAACAGAGGCTGGACATTTAGTCCACATACCTGAGAAGAAAAGTCCAGATGGAGAAAGGCTTTTGCAGAATACTGTCTGGAGCTTTTTTGGCACACCTCTGGACACACTGCAGCAATAAGAGCTGCCCTCAGCCCCAGCTGTAGTGCTGCCCAAACATCAACCCGGTGACTGCCAGGAAATTTCCAGCTGGATAACTGGTATTAACTGACTGATTGGGTCCTTTCCACAGATATTTTTAAACAACTTCACAAAATCCCAGCAAGTCTACTGATGTTTCTCAGAAGCATTTCATTATGAAATTGCTAGGAATTTGATGCAAGTCTTTAAACTTGATTAAAAGCAAACAACATGTTCCTTGAAGCCAGAAGCCAGGCTACTTTGCAAGGCTCTTACTCTGAACACAATAAGGTTCATGCCCATAATCTGCTCTCTGTTCATCAGTTGCTAGTACAGATGAAATATTCTGCTCAAAATAAAAATAATTAATAGTTTTGTTTGATGCCAGTAGATATATATCTCTGCTGTTTTTATGAGCTATATTTTTGAAGCCCCATGATTACTTTATTGTTCAAATTGCTAAAATAATAGTAATGGATGTTAGTCTCTCTTCACTGATTTGAAAAGCCAGACATTGCTAACGTTGTCAGTTTTGTTGACTACAACTTGACATACTCATTCACTTCTGAGACCAACAAATCCGCAGAGAATTCCCTACAGATTATTGAGAGATGATGTGAATAATGTTAAGTGTGTCCCCAAAGATTTTCAGGATGGATATGCATAATCAAGCATGCAGTTCTCAATACTAATTCTAATTACTTTTTTTTTTTTTTTCCTCCTAAATCACTAAGGTTCCCCTACCAGAGATGTGGGGCCTTCATTAGGTCTGAAGAAATCCAGCTCATTAGAAAGTCTGCAGACAGCAGTTGCTGAGGTGACTCTGAATGGTGATATTCCCTTCCACCGCCCGCGCCCGCGAATTATCCGAGGACGAGGCTGTAATGAAAGCTTCAGAGCTGCCATAGACAAATCATATGATAAACCTGTAGCAGATGATGACGATGAAGGCATGGAAACTTGTAAGTAAACTATTGCTGTACACAAAGAATCTTAATAACATAGGCTAATTCCTTCAGAAAGTGATTAAAAGTAGTAGAATATAATTTTAGGATTTTAAAAGAATAGAACTAACTTATCTTCATCAATTTTTTTTCAGGCTTTTCCCCTTAACATGCATTAACAGATTGCAACACTCTGCAGCTTCCTTCCTTTCTAAAATAAGGAAATAAGATTATTAAGAGTGTGTTTACTTAAATTAATATGAAAATTTTCTGTAAGACAGCTAATTAATTTACTAATGTAAATGAGAAAAAAAATTATGCAGAAAGGCAAAAAACACACTGAATTTATGTTACAAAAATATGTGCATCTAACTTTGAAAGAGTACATTTGTAGTGTCTGGGGGAAAAAAAGAAATCACTGTCCTTTAATTAGAGTGAGTAAGGCTGGCAGATTTAATAAAATATAGAGTTAATGATCAGCTATTACCCACCCTAATGGGCATTCATTTACATTTTCAGTTCTTTAACCCGAAGTATGACCCAACATGTGGAGAATGTTATTAACATAAAAGAATCACTTCAAAGCTAACCTTATCATTATTGAACTATGTAAGAATGGGCTGGTAAAATGACAACTCATATTGAATGAAAATAGTATGAATGGTAAATTACCTCAATCAGGGGTTGTGTTAAAATCATGGAATTTTTAACCTTCATGTTGTACTGCTTTAAACTTGTCACACACCAGCAGATTTTTTTGTAATCAACTTGCAACTAGTTAGAAGTTTATGAATGAAGATGATGGTAGGAGGATTGAAGTAGCAAAATATTTGGCCTGAATGCTAACAGAAAAGGCTTGAAAAGAGATTTTTCATCTCCACTCTTTTTAAAAATGTTAGTTTTAGAAAGTCTATTTCATAAGCATAATTCCACAATATTATTTTGTAAGCTACTTCTGTAATGCTTTTTTTTTTTTAAACTTGTTTTAAAAAGTGTTCTGAGACTGAAAGGGATGTCATTTTGCCAGTCACTTTTCTCAAAGGTAGTTACGGGTGGAATTAATTCTGCTTGGCTTTTCCAACACCTAGCAATTTCACGCAGCAGTGAGGCTAAATGCTGGTCTGGTGATGCTGGCTGTCAATCTATTTCTGGACAGTAGAAGAATAGTTATGAGAAAATGTGTAGCGATCTCAATCATTCTCCCAAACAGCATGCCTATGGTCTTTTGGGACATAAGTCCATATTTTTCTAAAAGGCCTTGTTTGGTGTGAGCCCACTGATAGTAATATCCTGTTTTAAGACATCAGGTATCCAAGGCTTATCCAGAAGTTACAGATGATATTACAGTTACAGTTTGACTTCATTTGATGAAAAATACAGCCAAACTGTTGGCATGAAACGCTTTCTAGGTGGGTATAGGTTTTTGAGATTATTGTAAGTGATTTTGAGCTTGTTGATGCAACGCATAGAGTGTAGCAAGGAAGTATTTGTTGGTCTTTGTATCCTTGGGAGTAGTGGAAAACAGACAAAGCCAGAAGTGCCATGGGGTGAGTCTTTGCCCTCATCTCTCTGTATGGATGAAGTCGTCTAGCACTAGTGGACCAAGAACTTTCTCAGTGTCATGTGAGAGCAAGAGCTAGGCTGCTCTCAAATCTCACATGTTGAAGAAGGGCTGAGCAAAGTATGACCAAGCTGTGCGCATAGAACTACGCATTCTGTTGAGTTACTTGTCTTTTAATAGCTCCACGTATTACAATAGAACGTCTGAGAAGTAATCCAGAAATTTGCAGTGCCAGGTTAATAGAAGCAGATGAGTAGCACAGCAAATATAGTAAGTTGGTTGGACAGAATTCAGGCCTCAAGGTCTTCCCACGGCGGCTGCAGGAATTTAAGAGCCAGCCCAGCCATACGTTGCCAGTCTTTCTGAAAACATGTCTGTATCTGTGTTAAAACTCAAAGCACTGCGGTCTGCTCCACTTTGTGTAAATTATATTTGGCCTCAGGTTCCAGAAAATTTACCAAATGGTGTCTTCAGCTGGACAAAGCCTGGGCACATATGAATATGTAGAAGTTAATTTAACAGTCTGTTCCTAATGTAACTAATGCCTCTCTGCTGCCATAACGACATTGCCTAAGTTTTTTTCAATTGTATTTAATTATTTTATAATTGTTTGAAATTAAAATGTGGCTTTCTCTCATTATAAACCCCAGGCAAACATGTTGGTGGTCAATTTGCTGATGCCTTTGAGGCTGGATCCATTTGTCGTACTCGAATTTCTTCCCCTTTTCCTCCAAGTGTTTCAGTGCTAAGAGTGCCTCTTTTTTCCAGACAGTGACCCTCTTTGGAGTTGCAAATAATAGCACTGCAATATGGTGTATGGAGGAACTCTTAACATGTCATCACCTCATATACAAAAGCCATAAAAACACAGGTAGTATATGTGGCAAAGGGGCTGACTCTCCTGAATGTGCTTGCTGTCCTTGGAACAACATACTATTAAAATTACTAAATGTAGGATGAAAATCAGATAGCAGTGACCAGGTCTAGGGTAACGTTTTTAAAAGTATTTGAGAAACATCTGAGTTTTAATGACTGTAAAGAAGTAATATTTGTGGAAAGGTGTGGGTGTTCAGCTTTTACAGATAATTTTTCTTGCTTTTTTTCTTTTTCTTTTTTTTTTTTTCTTTAACAATTGAAATAGCTGACTGGAAGCAAAATGTTTATCTTTAGTGTCTTGAATGAGAACAAGGCATTTGGATTGGGAGAGATCAACAAAGCTTTCTAATCTTTTGCTGAATCTTAATTGCTAGAATCTAGAGCTGTATTAAATATCACAATAAGAGGCCCAGAAGCATAGTAGCAAAATAGCTACACATTAAGTAGCTTTGATTCCTCATGTGCATCTTCCATTTTATGGCCTAATTAGGAGAATAGCTTCATAATACCTGTTTGTGTAGTTCTCCTTAGTACAGTGTGGTTCATGAAATGACGCTAGTTTTCAGGTTTAATTGATGTTTAAAGTATACTCCAATTTAATTTTTTGTCTTCAGCATCCTGAACGTGGAGGCAGGAGGTTGCAGGAAAGGAAGGAAATAACAAACCCAAACAAATACATTCTGTGTCTTGCAGTAACCTAATGTCATTACAGCCACTCAACAAAAATCAGAAGTTTCATTTGTAGCCTGGGATTGAATTTTAATTGAGCAGCATTTGCATTTGCTCTAAACAGTAGTAATTAGGTGTATGTTAGTTGGAGAATGACTGCACTGCATAAAAGTGAAAAAAGTTTCTTCACGTTGAGTCCTTTTAAGAAAACTGGAAATCTCTTACTGCAGTAGAGACACCAGTGTTTACTCGAGGAGAACAGGCGTCCTAGTTCACAGGGCTCAGTCTAAGCTACAGAGTTAATTGCAAGCAAACTGAGTATGATAGACAAATATTTATTGCGGCACAAGTGTGGAAAGGAGGCAATATTATCTCCATAGAACGTGCAAAATAAATAATAATAGGAAGCACTGTTATGACATGTTGTTCAGCAACTCAGTGTAGCACAGTACACTTAATACATGTTTAGGATTAATTTAATGCATTGTTATATGAATGTGAACCACCGTAGGTCAAAACTGATTCATCTTTAACATTCTAGCAATGAAGTACCAAGTAAAGATTTGACTTCAGAATTTGACAGAAATTTAATGCTTTTTTTCCCTAATTATATCGGTTTGCAAGTACAATCTTTTAAATGTCTATTTGGTTTTAACTGGAACAGATTGTAGCTATAAATTAACATGCAAAAAATTACCATCTCTATTCCAAAGTGGTTCTCCACTACTCTTTTAATAATAACTAAATATCATCCCAGACATTGATTAAGAAACACTGTGACCGAAAAAAGTACATCTAGTACAGAACATATACAAGACAGGCCTATTAATTTTCTAAAATACAATTATCCAAATATTATAAACTGTGCCTACAATTGAGAAGCTGTATCCTCTGCTTAACTCATAGCAGTCCTGGAGACAAGTTAACATGAAATACCACGACCTGTCTTTTTTTTTGTCTTTTTTTTCCTGGTGGTTTGTACTTCAGAGTACTAATTGAGATTCAAAAATAGTTATTAATGTTGAGATTTATCTGACATGTTTTTCTTGAAATATATTTATGTGATTTTCCAGGGTTGGAGAATATTTATAGAAATCTTGGGATACTCAGTGAATAAGTACTAAGTCTATTGGACATGTGTGTATTATAATATTAATGAATAAGTAGTATTTTACAGGCAAGTATCTGAGATAGAGAAGAGGTGATATTGAATGGCTTTCAGTCAGTGATTTGTAGACTTTTCAGGTTCAGTGAATTGCTTGTGAGGTGAATATGAATGATAACTAAGAAAAGCACATTTATATTCTACACTAGTCTATGTAGGAGAAATTTCTAAAGAGCTACACACTTCTGTTGGCTGTAGAAGGGTCATGGAGGTCTAGAAACAATAATATGAGTAGAAATAATAATAATAAGTAGTAAACATATGCTAAACTAAAAAAATATTTTTTCCTTTTGTTAGCCATGGCCATTTCCAGTTCTTATTGAGTATAAAAAAAAATTTCTCTTCCATAGACTGTGTGTGTGTGTATATATATATATATATATATGTAAAGCAAAACTGTATTTTTCAACTTCTATTGCCAAAAGTTTTTTGGAGCCCTTGTATTCGTTAGAGCTACAGGAGACAGTGCAAAGTATGTGTCTGTGATGCACCATTGGGAGATGGTGTAGCCCTGCTTATAATGTAATGATATAAAATGTTAGAGCTCCTGGCGAGTCACGGCTTCACCAGCCATGCACTGTCATTTTTGGACTTGGATTTAAGTTAAGTCAAGATGGTTGCAGGATTCTGACCCCCAAGCTTGAAGTGTTTTTTTTCTTTCTCACTAAACTACTGTGGGAGCTTTCAGGTTTTGAATGGATTATTTCTGTTGGTCATTTTTGTTTCAGCTTTTTTGAAATACATGTGCTTTGTTAAATCTGACCTCGGGTGTACTTTAGGATACTCTGAGTCTTGGTCTTGGATTAGAAACAGAGAAGAAACATGGTATTTACTCTTAAAGGATTTTACTTGTTACCTCCCATGCTGCCCCATCTCAACCAAGGATAAAAATGATGGTGCATGACGTGTTTTAAACTGCTCCAGGAAATGGAGTAGTCTGACACAACTGTAGTGTTACTTGCAGCAGAAGAAAAAGTCTGTTAAAGCTTGTATTGAGGGTTAGGAGTCTTGAATGACTTTCATGTTTTTATGAGAGTATTACTAAGAATTTATTAACAGGGCATGCTGCACTGCTGTTATTTCTTCTTGCAGATATTTCTAAAGCTCTCCTCTGCTGATTTGGGTACTGAAACAAAATGGGCCAATTAACATAATTTTGCTAATTCTCTTTATTAATCCATACATTATTCAGAGTACCCACAAAGCATGAATTGTGTTTTGCAGAGTGTTCTGCAAAGGTGAATTCCTTGCTTTTATGAGTTTAGTAGTACAAATGAACATTCTAGCAAACTCCCACATGTGCAGATGCTGATTTTGAAAAATAATATGAGTATTTTGTGGTTATGCATATATCCTGCTTCAAAATACATTACACAATATACCCAAAAGCCCACCTTTGTTTTCTCTTATCTCACTGATGTTTATTAATTTGTGCTTTCAGTGGAGGAAGACACAGAGGAGAGCTCAAGATCTGGTAGAGAATCTGTGTCCACAGCAAGTGACCAGCCATCTCACTCGTTGGAGAGACAGATGAATGGAAGCCAAGATAAAGGCGACAGAAAAAAGGCTGGAAAGGAAAAGAAAAAAGATCGAGATAAAGAGAAGGATAAAATTAAGGCAAAGAAAGGAATGCTGAAAGGCTTAGGAGACATGTTCAGGTAGGTGCTTTGCAATCCAATGTGAGAATCAATTATAAAATGAAGTTTCATTTATATTGTGACTGTTCGCTGAGGTACAGTGAACAGTATTTACTATACAGATATATATGTGATGTATATAATATAGGCTGATATATCAATTTTTGAGCCTATGAATGGTGCCGTGGAAGGGAAGCAGCTCAAGCAACAAACTGCTTGGTCTTCAAAGGAGTCTGTGATGATATCTAAGTAGTGCATGTACCCTTTGGCAGGTCAAACAATTTTGGGTTTTATTTTTTTCTTAAACTGTCTCTTCCTAATACTGTACCCAAAGCTTAAGTGTTACTAAATGAGTGTTTTTCTTTGGTTTGCTATTAAGACTGTTTGGTATCGTGGAGGCATAATGTGAAAGAGATGAATCAGTTTGAGACTGAAAAACAGCATGCTTCTCTCAAGGAAAACAGGATCTAAATAAGGTTGTGTGCTCTGAGAACCCACAGTCTGGAGAAAGGGTCAATGAGAGACATGAATTTTACCAAGCACTGAGTTTTTTTTAAAGGAGTCATCTCTCCAGCAGACATAAGTAATCTGAAAGGAGCAGACTGCTGAGGGACACCCTGCTGTTCTGGGTAAATGGTGAAACATGACAAACACCTTTGATCACTTGTGGGAAGGGGTGAGAGAGCAAGAAAATCAGTCTTTCTTTTAGCCAGATAGAATAAATAAATATATCTCAAAGAAAAAACAATATTAAGGCAGTGTTTGGTCTTTTTTGTATATGCAGGGATTCATTATTGAATTTTGAAGTAAGATTCCAGTATTATTTTAAAGATTTATTAACAGTGATTCTTCTTTGAAAACATGTAAGTGGAGCTTCAGTTAGCTTTCATAGAATATGGAATCATAGAATCATAGAATCATTAAGGTTGGAAAAGACCTCAAGGATCATCAAGTCCAACCGTGAGCCCACACCACCTAACTCACTAAACCATGTACCTAAGCACCACGTCTACACGTTTCTTGAACCCCTCCAGGGATGGTGACTCCACCACTTCCCTGGGCAGCCTGTTCCAATGCCTGATCACTCTTTCAGTGAAGAAATTTTTTCTAATATCTAGCCTAAACCTCCCCTGGCACAACTTGAGGCCATTTCCTCTTGTCCTATCACTTGTTACTTTAGAGAAGAGGCCAGCACCCACCTCACTACACCCTCCTTTCAGTTAGCTGTAGAGAGTGATAAGGTCTCCTCTCAGCCTCCTCTTCTCTAGACTAAACAACCCCAGCTCCCTCAGCCACTCCTCATCAGACCTGTGCTTCAGACCCTTCATCAGCTTCGTTGCCCTTCTCTGGACCTGCTCCAGCACCTCAATGTCCTTCTTGTGTCGGGATTCAAGGTGCGGTTTAAGGTGCGGCCTCACCAGTGGCACGATCAGTTCCCTAGTCCTGCTGGC